TTTAGGTTTTAAGAGTTATGACAGCCTTTTTTTTTTTTTTTTTTGCAAAGCAAATATCAGCTGCTGTTACTACCAGTCACCTAGATGTTCAATCACCTCTTCTTTCTTTTTTGTAGGAAGCAATTGAGAAGAAGGAGCAAAGAGCAAAACGGTTTCATTTTCGTGGAGAAATCAATCTTGCTCAAAGAAATGTAGCACTGGATCGAGATATGATGAAAAAAGGTACTGAGAATTGTGTGTTTTTTAAACAAGTAAATCTTCCCATTTGTTCTAGGCTTTGTAAAACTATTGGTGCTTTGGTTTTCCTTCTAGGTTGAATGAAATGTACGATTGACCCTCCTTAATGAGTATTTTTCCCTTTAGGACTTTATTGTTTGGAGGATACAGAAATTCTCAGAGGAAGCAACTATGAATAGGAAACTTCTAGTTTTTAATAAGCCTTCTTGGTTTTTTAAGAAATTGTTTGTAATATACATATGTGAAACATTCCCCCAGAATGCTTTTTTCTTTAGGACAAGATCTTAATACCCTTTTGGATTGGTGGGCTTATTTAGAATATTGAGGAAGTGATATGGGGGATATAAAATGGTTGGTAAGGATTGGGCAGTCAAACCCAGGATTGCAAAATTAGGATTTAGAATTGGTAAATAAAAATGGACTGTAATAATCCTTTATAGGAAGAATAACATGTTGAATTGAAGCTTGCATTAATATCTATAGGCTAACAAAAATCACAAATGTAGAATTTGCTAGTGCCACTATGGAACAAAAACTATTTCCATTTTTTTTACATGGAATATTAAGAAAACAATCATCAGCATATCTGTGGTCATACTGATACGTTTTATGCAGTGAGGGAGGGATTCATATAAAAATTAGGTAAATTTTTCAGTCTGATGGAACCTTCAAAGAGGAAAGGAAAAAAAAGTCCAGATAGAACAAAACAGGAGAAACTGAAAAGTCCCTTCCATTGGAGCTTAAAGCAGTGGAAAACTTTGTACAGATGAGGAAAGAATTCAAATGATACGTTGCTTAGCTTCAACAAATGAATTAGTAGAGGAGATCAGTTATGCTAGCAGTTTGGGAGTCAGGCACCTTCTGTAGAAGGAGTAGGTGGCTAAATGTCTGTTCTAGTGCATAGTTATCTGCCGTATAGTCAAATCATTAGTCCATCTAGGCTAGTATAGTACTGGACGATATCAGAATTGAACTTCAGGAGATAAAATAATTTTACATGAAAATATACTTACATTGAAGAAGCTAAAGTCTCCTTCCTTTCTGCGCAACTGCAATCCTGTGATCCTTAAATGAGAACAAATGCCATTGAATTTAGTGGAATTTGCTTCTGAATAGATTTTCACAATGTGCACTATTCAGTGTTTTCAAAAGAGAGATGACCCCTTTTGCTCCTTTAACCTTGCTGTGCCTACATTAGGGAAAGAATGTCAAGATTTGGTGCTATGGAAAAGGGAATGAAACGAATCCCCTTCCAGATTTTTCATCTAGATAAATCTCAGTGATGGTGGGGCAAATCAGCCTTCTTTCCTTTTTTGAGCTTTTTTTTAATCTTGAACCTTCAAATAAGTGATGGGGAAGTTGATTTATCTGCATTGTTGCCTGATGTTGATTTTTGTTTTGTTTGCTTCTTTTCTTTTGTCAGTTGCTGACACTTAGACTAGATTTTGAATTTCTTGCAGCCATCCCCAAATTGCGACTAGATACCATATATGTTTATGGTGTTGATGAAATGAGCACCCAAGATATTTTTGCCTATTTCAAGGAATATCCCCCTGCTCACATTGAGTGGCTGGATGATACATCTTGTAAGTACCTGAGAGTACATAAACTATGGGAATTTTTTGTTTTAAAAAGAAAGATGATTTATTCTACGGGAACTCTAACCTTTATTCTCTGTTAAATTTTCAGTGGATTTTTCCTTATGACATTTTTCTCACACTTGAGAAACTGTTGCATTTTTCATTACGTGTTTGTAATTTTGGCACGATCACTAACTGATTTTTTTCTTTCTTTTGAGGCAACGTTGTTTGGCTTGATGAAGTAACAGCCACACGAGCACTCATCAACATGAGTTCTATGCCGGGGGAGGAAAAAATAAAACCCCAAGAAAACTGTAAGAAAATAGAAGACTCCACAAAGAAAGGTAAAAGACACTTTGTTCCATAGCCACAGGACTTAGGGTTTTGAATTACACATCTGGGCACGTGTTAATTGGTGTTAAGTGGGACTGTGGAATTCACTGCTGAAACCACCTATGCAGCTCCAGTGATAGTTTTGTTTGCAGAAAGCATAATTTCAAACTCTGCCTCTAAATGTTGGGCATATATTTCATCCATAGAATATTCTTTCTTCACCAATGTGAAAAGGCCTTAGGTAACAGGACTGGAAAGTATTTTCAAGAAGGGTAGTGATCATAGTAAAGGAGAATGAATATGTGAAGTAGTGGGTGTGTTCAGAAGAACCAACTCAGTTGCAGGGTCTTAGTGCCAATCAAGCATTTACTCCATTTTTACACAAATAGAAAGCAAAAAATATAAGGGAAAGACATTTCTTGGTTAGCTTTTTGGTCTTGGTGCAGCTCCTTCTCTTCATAGTTGAATAATTTTATTTGGTCTCCTGAGTCTTTTGTATAAGTTTGCTGCATGAATCTCTATTGAGGTGGATCATTGGTTTCAGTGAGCTTGTATTGCCTATGCTGTGGAAAGAGCTGTACCTCAATGGTAGAGCACATGTTTTATATACAAAGCTCTTAAGTTCAATTCTGACAATAGTAGGAAAGTATGGAAAGACTCCAGTTTATCTCCAATTTCTAGTTGATCAAACTACAGCAAACAGTTAGGCAGTTCTTAGCTAAGTAGACAATGGCCTTCCATAATACAAGGCTGCTTCCTATGCTCTTCTATGGTTTCAAGCCAAGTAGTAATGCCAGTTGCATTACTATCTGAAAAGTTTTTAACCTTGAGTGCTTAGCACTGGACCTGGGATAATCTGCATGTGAATCAGGTTCTCTGCCCCTGAGCTGCCTGCTCTTGCAAGAACGGGTAGAAAATGTATTTCTTTCATAAGAGTGTGGCTCATTTTGTGTTCCTCTGGAGGCTCGGTCTTCCTCCTCTTCCCTTTCTGAGTCCTACATGGCTCTGTGCTGGGAACCTGGAGAGTCAATATTAGGGTTAAAACAGCCAGCTCTGCCCCATTCCTGTGGAGAAATCCTGCCTCATCTCATGACTTCCGTATTTGGCACTTCTGGATGATCAACTAAGGCATTGTTTACTAAGTAGAAACAAGAAGGTAACAATTGTAAAAGATATTTTTGTTTATTTTAGAAAAACAGGAGGAAAGCTCAGATGATGAAACAGAGGAAGGCGAAGTAGAGGATGATCATCCAAGTGATACAGAGGTTAGTGCGGGATGTTTGGGCTAGGGCCAAGTCTGTCTGGATAAAAACCATAAAAAGAAACTGAAACCAAGAGAGAGATTACCTACAGTGGGGCAAAAAAGTATTTAGTCAGCCACCAATTGTGCAAGTTCTCAAATAAATTCTTTAAAAATCAGACAATGTGATTTTCTGGATTTTTTCCCCCATTTTGTCTCTCATAGTTGAGGTATACCTATGATGAAAATTACAGGCCTAAATAAATTCTTTAAAAATCAGACAATGTGATTTTCTGGATTTTTTCCCCCATTTTGTCTCTCATAGTTGAGGTATACCTATGATGAAAATTACAGGCCTAAATAAATTCTTTAAAAATCAGACAATGTGATTTTCTGGATTTTTTCCCCCATTTTGTCTCTCATAGTTGAGGTATACCTATGATGAAAATTACAGGCCTAAATAAATTCTTTAAAAATCAGACAATGTGATTTTCTGGATTTTTTCCCCCATTTTGTCTCTCATAGTTGAGGTATACCTATGATGAAAATTACAGGCCTAAATAAATTCTTTAAAAATCAGACAATGTGATTTTCTGGATTTTTTCCCCCATTTTGTCTCTCATAGTTGAGGTATACCTATGATGAAAATTACAGGCCTAAATAAATTCTTTAAAAATCAGACAATGTGATTTTCTGGATTTTTTCCCCCATTTTGTCTCTCATAGTTGAGGTATACCTATGATGAAAATTACAGGCCTAAATAAATTCTTTAAAAATCAGACAATGTGATTTTCTGGATTTTTTCCCCCATTTTGTCTCTCATAGTTGAGGTATACCTATGATGAAAATTACAGGCCTAAATAAATTCTTTAAAAATCAGACAATGTGATTTTCTGGATTTTTTCCCCCATTTTGTCTCTCATAGTTGAGGTATACCTATGATGAAAATTACAGGCCTAAATAAATTCTTTAAAAATCAGACAATGTGATTTTCTGGATTTTTTCCCCCATTTTGTCTCTCATAGTTGAGGTATACCTATGATGAAAATTACAGGCCTCTCTTATCTTTTTAAGTGGGAGAACTTGCACAATTGGTGGCTGACTAAATACTTTTTTGCCCCACTGTATATAAGTCTTCCACAACTTGAGCATTGTCTAGATATGTGGTCTACAGTTCCTATAATTCTTAGTGATTACTATGCTGGCTGAGGGATTCTGGGAGATGTTCTGCATATCTAAAGAGTGCCAAGATTGGGGAAAGCTGAAATAAATAGCAGAATATGGCTGATAAAAATCTAGAGCAATGTTTCTCAACCTTAGCAACTTTAAGATGAGTGGACTTCAACTCGCAGAATTCCCCAGCCAGCATAGTTGGCTGGGGAATTCTGGGAGTTGAACTCCTCTCATCTTAAAGTTGCTAAGGTTGAGAACCACTGATCTAGAGTCTGATTTCTCATAGGAAACAAGTTTGGTTGACAACCACAAATAAAATGTAATTATAACATAGGATTTGGGATTGGCTGTGGATTAGACCAAAACAGGCCCCTCAAGCTCAGCTTTGTGCTCCTCTCAAAGACATGCATGCATCACCTCCCAATTTCATTGAACTGAATGAAAAGATCTGTGAAAACAGAATCAAAGTATTAAGTGAAACTGGACTGGGCTGGTTTCTTTAAGCTGAGGTACCTGAGCTAAACTGGAACTATGTCTTTGTGGTTGTTGCAATCAGGCCTTTTGTTATCATGGTCTCTCCTGAAATAGCCTGAAATGTGTTTTTTTCTACAGCTGGACACTTTATCCCAGGTGGAAGAAGATTCCCTTTTGCGTAATGACCTTCGTCCCGCCAGTAAGCTGGCCAAAGGCAACAAGCTCTTCATGAGATTTGCCACCAGAGGTAAAGAGCTTGACCAGTACAAAGAGCCCATTACAACACAGTGAAGAGTTATGACCCAGTGATATTGTCTTGATTTTACGGCCCACAGAAATATTACATGGACCCTCTGTATTGCTCTCATTCATAAATATTTTTTGCAGAACCTTCCATAAATTATACTGTGATGCTTACAGAAGAAGATATAACCATTATGCCAGAAAGCTAAGCCAATGATTCCCTTGCTTAGCACCGTTGCTTCCCAATTAGGAATGCTGTTTCAGAGTTGAGAGTCTGTTCCCCTAAATATAGATGTTAGTATTAAAGCTCAGGGAATATGTGTAAAGAAGCTAGTTTAATTCTGTGTTTGGCCCTCCATTAATGAGGTGTAATGTTTTCTCATTTGTGATCTTGCTACAATTGTAGTGGCTCTTTTTTTGCATTGGCCACAGACAGTTGTTTTCATCTGGTGCTTTCAAGAATAAGTTCATTATTAAATTTCTCTGGAAAAAGCATTTCACAAGCAATGACTTGATGTACATTTTTGGCTTTATTTACCAGCATATTTGGAAATTTAAGCTACTGAATTATTAGCTGGTCTTACCTACTGTTCTAAAGTTCTTTTGAAGTCACTTAATTCAGAGCCCTCTGAGAGCAGGATTCAGCAATTCATGTAGTTAGGGTAGCATCAGTGGATGTCAGTCTAATACTTCTAGGAAAGGAGTGCCTACCACTTTCCAAATAATAGCTAGGACCTGTCTGCTAATATTTATCCAAAATTGCCTTCCCTTTCCACTTTTGAATTCCACTTTCTTATGATTTTCTTACCGAAGAAAATGTATCAGATAGAAACCTAGATTGCTCCAGTTTGAACTTAGTTAATGTAATCTAATCGTAATTGAATACATGAAACAGTCACTGCAGCAGTTAAACATCAACCTCTAACACTGTAAATTTTCTTGTTGATAATGGATTATTAATAAAAGATTGTCCATGAAGCCAGTTCATTTGCTTTGAGGATTTTGACGTAAATCACAAATTTAAAAATTAAACGTATGAAAATTCAACTTAAAGCTGCCCCATTATGCAACTTTACACCATTTTCTAGGAGGAGGTTATTTCTTGACAGTACAAATAAGAGTATAGAAGCATGACTATTGTTGGAAATAGTCACTACAATAATTAACCAAACATTTCACAGAAATTCCAGAAGAATTAAAAGCATTTGTAAATCTGTAAAATATTTTAAGATTTTTAAAAACTAGGTAATAAAATGTAATATGTTGTTAAAATGATCAAAACATGAGTGCCATGTCACCCTCTCTGGAAGGGTCTGCCATAACTAGGATGGTACTAAAGAGAAGTCCATCTCTTAGTAGTCGCCAAGTGTGTCAGAGGATAATTTTTATCTGGGGAGGTTTTCATCTCATCTTTTATCCTTTCCTAATGCTTTCCACTCTCAGATCCATAGGTTTCCTTGTAGATCAGGTGTCAGCTGTCAATGGACTGCATGAGGGCCACAGGCTTCTAAGAACATAGCAGTGAAACATGATTTCACTGTTAATTGTTAAAGTAATTTTTTTTATTTTTCTAGTTTTTCTTTTTAAAACATTTTCAGTGGAAGAACAGCCTAAATATAGATATTAAGCTTTTACAGACTTAGCCCACCTACTCTGAGTAAAAAACCAAAAAGCCCACAACATTAAAAAGGATTAGGGTTACATTTTAGCCACTGAAATTGATTCCCACTCTGGAAATAATTTGTGATTAGTTCCATAGTAGTACAGAATGTCCCTGCATCCACTTAGCATTTGCTTTACTCTTACAGATGACAAGAAGGAGCTTGGAGCTGCCAGGAGAAGCCAGTATTACATGAAATATGGAAATCCTAACTACGGAGGCATGAAAGGCATCCTGAGCAACTCATGGTGAGCTGGGGAGAGATACCCCTTGGAAATTACAGTATCCAAAATGAGCTATTGTGTTAGTCTGATTCCTTTGTTCCGGAGTATCTTTCATTTCCCTGTATCTCATGTATCCGTCAGGCCAGGAAGATGCCTGGGAAGTACACTCTCAATATGCTCTTCATTCTGTACAGCAGCATCAGTTAGTGCACTGGTTTCCTTAGGGCTGTCTTTAGTACAGGCCCAGCTTAGTATATTCTTGGGATGTGGAATTAGGCACATGCTTGATTAGAAGAAGACATTGCAAGTGGAAGAACTGCAGCAGACAGCACAAGAAATAAATATTCAGGAATACTGGGGATAGGGATGACCTTGCTCTTGGATGCAGGAAATATCTAGAAAAGATTCTCAGACCTCCATGTAATTTTGAGTTGTAGTGAGAAAAGTTGCCTACATATATGCAAATTAATTTGAATATCTGGGGATGGGTTGGGGAATAGGCGGGTTTCTCAGTTGTGATAGTTGGACTGACACAATATGCTGAGCCCTAATCCTGGATTAACAAATTACAATTGCTATGTTCATAACAAACACAGCATATTCACATAGCATGCTATGACTAAACGTAAACTGTGTTATGGTGTGACATAATAGTCTGGTTCATACAACCCAGCAGGGCATTTGCTGAGTTCTCACAGAACACTGAACTATAACTACATTATAGTTTCAAGCTTCATTTTATGTTAGTCTAAGGTGTTAACTTGCTGAGAATATGGTAGTGACAAAAGAGAAAGTGAAAGTTCATCCCTTTTCTGGGTCATTTGCAAAAGGAGGGGGGCACACATAAGTCTTCCCTGAGCAAGAATTCACTGGTTACATCTGCATTTGCCTAGAATTTAGCCCAGTCTTTAGTGGAAGGTTATAGGAAGAACTTAGGTTGGCGGTGCATCTGATAGCTGTAGATCTTTTGTGTCTTTGCAGGAAGCGGAGGTATCATTCACGCCGGCTTCACCGGGATGTAATTAAAAAAAGAACTCTCATTGGGGATGATGTTGGCCTGACACCCCCATATAAACATCATCATTCAGGTAAGTGGAGACGGTTTTTGTAATGCAATCACATGATAACTATTTCTAGCACAGTTGGTCTGTGTACATTATAAAACTGGTGTGTGTGCGTGTGTTTCTTTTGATGTAAAGGCCTTTGCTACCTGGTTTTGCATGTATATGGCCTCTCCAGTAAAAAAAAAAAAAAAAAAGTCTGCATTGGGGAATAGCATTGTGAAATCAAAATAGTGAGAAGGAGGCGGTCACAGTGTTCTACAAGAGTAGGCTTTGGGACTGTACCTTCAGTTCTCTCTAAAAACAAGAGACAATGTCGTTCCTGGAATGTAGGCCAATATAGTTTAAGAATCCAAGTCAATGTATGGAGCAAAGAACACCCTAATAACAAATAGGGGGGAAAAAACACTAGATAAATATTTTAAGGCAGGAGTAGGCCTCATCATCCAGCTGCAAACTCAGATAAAACTAATTCCATTGTTTCAGCCTTTAGAATTTGATTCTTGCAAAACCAAAAAACCCAAGAACCTGCACATACAAATTACATCTACACGCAAACTACAAAATTATCAGGGAGCAAACGTTACTTCTCTGTACAGAAAACTTCAGTGAGACTTTCACGCTAACGTCTGGTGATTGATCCTGCACTTTAAGCTCTTTTTCAAGGATTCTAAGAAAATAAAATCTCTGTAAAGAAGGTGACAGCGTCTAGCTGATCTTGACAAAACTGTGCAGGGTCAGACCCAATTATTACTTGGATGGGGAGCTACCTGGAAATCCTGAGGCTGCAGGTGAGATGAGAACTTAAAAAAAGTTCCTTGGAGAAATCAGTGGCAAACCATTTCCATATTGTTGCCAGGAAGACTACATGTTCATGTTCCCGTAGTCATCAGGAACTGAGTCAACTAAAGGAGGCTTCAATTTACAATTTATTATCATGATATTTGTTTTTAATTTTAAGTGTTATTAAAATTAAGAACTGAAATCAAGTTATTACATAAACTCCATAATAGAAATATTAAAACGAGAACAACAGTAACAGAGAAGCTTGGCTTACCATCAGAAAATAAGTTACCATTTTAGAAGAGTGGCTTCTAGAAAGTTATTAGAATAAGAATGAACATAAAAGGAAACATTTTTCCAGTAGTGTGTCTTTATTATTCCTGCTTCTTGATTTTTGAATACCGTCAGTTAATGTTTTCAGAGAGGCAAGTTTAGTATTTCTGACATCTGATTCTACCTGGTAAGAGTTGCTGTCATCCAAGAGGATGCTATTACTATCTATTGCTGCTCTGTGTAACATATTAATTAATGTCCAGTACATTAAACACTTATCCCATTAATAAGTAAAGGAGCAACAGTGACCCAGAGAACTGCGTATTTTGACCAGATATGTTCATAATAGTTAAAATAAAATAGACTTTTTTTACAGTTGGGCAGGTAAGCCATATGTGCAGAAAAGATTTGATTCCCCATAGCCTCTATGACACTTAGATGGACTAGAAGGTAATAGTCAGTGTAATTCAATAAGCGTCCAATGCCATCTGTGTGCTACTAATTTTAATGATATTTTCTGGAGCTAAGCTCTAGTTGTTTTAATTGGTTGATGATTTCAGAGCCTTTCCTATTGAGAATTGGATAATGACAAATAAGAGATCATCTTTATCTGCAAATAAAGAAGTTTATTTTGGAATTTGAGTGCATGTTCATCTGAGAAACCTTTTAAAATTTTGTCCTGGCTTTTTTCTTCCCTATATTTTCTTATAATAATTTTTATTAAAGTTTAAAAATACAAAAATAAAAAACTAATACAAACTAAGAAAAATGTAAAAAAGTAAAAAAAAAATGCAGAGAAAATATATATAGAAACATATATAGTAAAGAAAAAAGAAAAAGATATATAAAGAAATTACTTCACCCTTCATCAAGACAAGTACAATTACAGGAACTTATCACCTTCTCTGCTACCAAAAAAGATCTCTTCTTCCCATATCTCATTTCTTATCTATAAATTTTCAAAGCCTTGTCATTCAGTCCTAATCAGCAGAAATCTATTAAGAGTTACCAGAAACAACAACATATATATTTTAACCTTGATCAAATAAACCAACTGTATATTCCTTCCTTTTGGTTTTAGCTATCTTGATCTTTAGTCCCTTTAAATAGTGTCCCAGTACTTGATTTCTTTTCATTTTCTCTTTGTCTCTTCTCAGAAGCTCTTTCAGAACTTTAACACGTCTCATTTGTAAATGCAAAATAAGAAAGTTGTCCAAGTCATTCTTCTGGTTTGTTATTTGTATATCCTTTTTGATTATTAAGACATCAACTGGCTTTATTTGTAAATCCAGTGTAACATCTTTTTCCATATCAATCTTGTAATTTGTCATTTTTAAGTCCACATTAGAATCAGCCTCAATGTCTGTTTTGTCCAGTAAAACCTGTCCTTTTCTATAACCTCTTTTAAATCCATTGTTATAATGGTAGACAGTCTTAAAAGTAATTTAAGAGGGAGGATGGGCAGCATAATAATAAATAAATAAATTTCTGAGTGCGTTGTTCCCGAATATCCTTGAATTCTTCTAGAGTATTTTGCTCCATTCTGTATTAGTGGGTCTCCTTTAATTCTAACCTTCAGTTCTTTCTGGTTCCCTCTACTGTCCAACCTTCAAAGTCCCTTCTTATCATTTTTTTTTCTGATCAGTATTTTCCCATGAGAAGATTTCTTATACTTAATTTCAAAATCTTCATGTTTTTTTTTTATGGAATTCTAAACAACCCACAGGAAGGATTCTTATAATTAATTTCAAATTCTTATTTCATATCCATCTGGCCCCTTAGTCCATTTATAACTTTCCAAAATCAACGTTCTAATTGCCTTTTTGCTGTTTATTCCAAAATAAGAATTTTTAAAATCCTTAACTTGCATAAATCTTCTTTCATTAAGGATTGAAGGAACCGTAGGCACCTAGTGTAATGAAACTTGCCTTTCTCAAAGTTCTTAATATCCAAAAAGCAGTTAACAAGCAATTTCTAGAAGTGATTAAGAGAGGAAGTATGCAAACCCAGTGTCCTTTTGAAGGCTCCGAACTATGGCTTGGGCAAAGATGGTGTTCTCTCGGCTCCCAGAGCTCTAAACCCACCAGAGACCGCTGTCTTATGGTCTCCTCACAGGGAGCTTCTGTCTGAGTGCATGTGGGCAATCCCAAGTCCTCTCTTTATCCAGAGAGGAATTCTGAGAAGCTGGTCCATATGCCAGCTCCTTGTTCTGCTGCGGTTGTCAGCTCCACTCTCAACAGAGCCGTCTTCAGTTCGCCATTGCTTCCCCAGAAGTCCTCTTTCCTATATTTTCTTATGTTGTTGGTTCATGATTTTATCTGGATCTCTTCCCTTTTCATTAGAAGGTTGTCTATTCCCATATTGACTTGCCACAGTCATTGCTGGTATAATAGGGAGGTTATTACTCATGATCATAATTCATGATACATGGTACATGGGATACATGATTCTGTAACATGGGAATTAGCAAAATAGATTTCTAATGTGCTTACTGCTTCAATAGAAGTCATTTGAGGAAAGAGGAGGTAGACCAAACCAGCAAAATATTTACTGAATTCTTATGCTTTGAGATGGCTGGGAGACCAGCTCTGGCTTCCTTTGCAGGTACTCCATGTACCACCTAACAAAAGGTTTTTATTTTTTGTGTCAAATTAATTGTCCACTTAAAATACAGGGTGAGGTTTTAGCCTTCTTAGAATGATCATTCCTGCCTTCCAGGATTAGTAAATGTTCCCGAAGAACCAATTGAAGAGGAGGAGGAGGAGGACCAAGATGATGATCAGTATATGGATGAAGATGATCGTGTAGTGGTGGAATACAGAGATGAACTGCAGGCTTACAAGCAGTCTCGTGAACGGAGTGCTCGGCGGTCCAGTGCTAGCGAATCTGACTCCGACGAAATGGACTATGATCTTGAGCTGAAGATGATCTCTACTCCTTCCCCCAAGAAAAGCATGAAAATGACTATGTATGCAGATGAAGTAGAGTCTCAGTTGAAGAGCATTAGGTAAGGCTGGCTTACATTCAGAAAGCTGGGTTCCTTTATCTCTTTATCCTAGGTTACTTGGTGAGCTAATTGAATTAAAGCTGCATAAAGGAGGAAAATTGGTTCAAAATATATTGGAATAATAGACCTATTGGTGATATCATGGAAAAACAATAGAAACATGAAATGAAATAGTCAGCTTAAAGAAGAATAAATGTAGCAATTGCAGTGTAACTGAAAGATTACAATAAAAGGTAAATCAGAAACTAATTGAGCATTAATCAAATCAGGAAAAAAAGTTATTAAATTCAAAAGAGGTAAGGGTATATTAAAATATATTTTCCTTGCCTGTTTCATTCATACTGTAAACACACTTAAGTGGTCTAAATATTTAAATGTAAAGAACATATACAGTATATACCATTCCAGTGGACACTCAAGATTCTTAGAATAATTTAATCTATCTGATTAAAGAAACTATTTCCCCCTTCACAACTTCTTTCCTTACCTTTCTTAACTTTCTGCATTATTACCACCTTTATCTGAACCTGAACAATCTAAGAAAGAATAAAAAGGTCTGCCTTTCCATCTTAGGGGAGGCTAAAGGCCTGGAGTTTGAAGGAATTCATCAGTATCTCTTCTAGCATCCAAAAAGAAGCCCCTCTTTTGTTTGTGTCAGCATTTTACAGATACCTGTATACAGTGGTACCTCGGGTTACGAACGCCTCTGCTTATGAACTTTTCGGGTTACGACCAGCTCTGGCCGCAAAAATTTACCTCGGATTGCGAACTCTGCCTCGGGGTACGAACCGGATCCGCGGCCATTTTCCACCGTGACACATGGTCCGCGGCCATTTTTCCGCCCATGCCACGTGGTCCGCAGCCGCTTTTCCGCCCTTGACGCGTGGTCCACGGACGCTGGAACGGATTAATGGTAATTACATTGAACCTTATGGGAAAATTTGCTTCAGGTTGCGCACAAATCGGGTTGCGACCAGAGTCACGGAATGGATTAAATTCGTAACCCGAGGTACCACTGTATTTTAATGACATAAAATGACATCTCATGATGTGGTTTTCCACTATGTGTTTGATGCCACCCCCAAATTTAATTTGCTTTCTACTTTAGATTCTCATTGTTCGTTGGTTCTATCCAGGAGCATATTAAAAGTGGCAGTGCAGGTAGTTCTTGGGTTACAGTGTCATCTTTCTTGTTTGCAGAACATCAAAAAATATCCAAATTAAGCCTTTCTGAATGATATCTGTCTCAGAAAACTATAAGGTTCTAACAGAGATGGTGAGACTTGGGTGGAACAGCAATTGCCAGGGGAGACTCAAACACCTTATTTTGGCCAAGACACATGCATACCTTTGCTGTCCTGGGGCTCCTCTGGTCTCACACTGATGATCACACTTGGGGAATCCTTGCTTATCCCAAAATTCAGCCTTCCCTAGTGTTAAGAACCTCAGTTGGCTGAGGGTGATCTTTTCTTGTCTTTGAGATGTTGAATAGAACAGAGCACCTTCTAGCTCCAGAGCAACTAGAACCTTGATTCTGGAGTACAGATTAACCTGTTCTTATTAACCCACACACCCTTTACACAGAAAGGCTTTCTGATGGAGTTTGTAAGTATTTTGATTCATGGAAGATTTTTTTAATGTAGAAATTCAATGAGAGCGGACAGCATAGCTTCCAGCAATGTCAAGAATCGTATTGGAAGCAAAGGAGCTTCAGAGAAAGTTGCTGATGTGAGACTGCTGTTGGAAGAAAAAAGGCATGGGAATCCTGGCCTGCACCAGCCCCTGAGCTCTGTGAAATCAGGTAAAGGATTTGTTGCTGTTGAGTATCCCAATGTACTTATACTTTGGAGGACCTGTTTTGTAAGCATCATTGTATTACTTGCATAATTTAAAATAAATAAGATGAACAAGATGATTGTTTTTCAAATGCTAGATACCCCTGAGATGGCATTGTTGTTTTGGCCCACCATTATGAAGTTTCAGATAATTCACCCTCCTGATACTGCACACACGCACGCACTGCCCCCAATCTCCTTCCTATCAGACTCTTGGATCATGTGCTACCAGTGGTATACTCAGCTTAATACTTACGTTCAGATTCTTCATTGGGATGAGGGGTGATAGTAAGTGGAGTAACATTCAATACACAGTTATCCATATATTGTTTCCAGATGTCCGACAGAGGCTTGGCAAGAGACCACATTCACCAGAAGTCCCTCAGCCCAGCAGCATCTCTGCATCTCATCGTGAGCCTATGTCTGATGTTCATAGTCGTCTAGGGATCCCCAGGCAAGAGGGGAAAGGCCTTTATTCAGACACCAGAGAGAAGAAATCCGGTCAGTTCTGTGCAGTGTTGTGTCAGTCAACTTTTCTGTTGCTTCTAGAAGCAGTGATGGCCAAAGGATGTAAGCAGAGCTTGCAATTCAGTGCTGGTTGTTTCTTCTTTTTTATAAAAATCATAAGTAACTTTTTATTGCAGTAGACAGCATGGGAAGTAGTGTGATGTAGTGGCTTCGTTACTGAGCAGTGGTCTGGGAAGCATAGGTTCAAATCTCTGCTCAACTCTGATGCTGATTGAGCAAGCCGCTTTCTTAGGCTGCCTTTCCTGCTTATTTCACCAGTGATTGTGAAACTAAACTGCTTTCAGTTCTCTGGAAGATTAGAGTGAGTAGGTTGAATTAGTTCTGCACAATAAATGAATATCTGAAGAAGAAACTTTATAAAAATATGGCTTAAATTACTAATTCTGTACATCAGAGCAATTCATTCACTGAAAAGGGTTTGGGGAAACCACACTCAGATTCACTGGGCTTCCTTAACTATTTTGATTTAAATAAAACAATACAGTGGTTTCTGTACCATCGTACCCAAACCATTAGCAGGCACATGAATAGAATGAATGTGGGTGTCCTTGTTTATGGGTGAGAGCCCTGGATTGTTAATATTGCTCATAGGGAATAGTAAAAACAATATTTCATGTACCAACATCTGACTCTTCAGAGAGACATTCTAGGGATAGTAATACCCATTTCCTTTCCATGTTTTAGCACTATCTTGAAAAGAGATCTGTGCTTTGCTATTTAAAGAAAGAGTTGCATTTTGCCATTTTATCTTGTATGAATTGCAAGTGAAGCACTCTGATCCTATAGTTCTAGCTGGAGTAAATGAAAGTGGGAGGTGGGGAAGCAGTTTATCACTGAGATAGGCAGGAATGTTTATGTATCAGTAAGAGGGGGAGAGAATGATGTAAAAAATGGTGGATACTATATAAACCACTGTGGAAGTGTTTAACAGCTGTAGAGTGAGATACACATGCTTTAAGTATACATGAGGCATTACCCCAAGAGAAGCCATATGTATGCCCAATACTTTATTTTTACTGTTCAGAGCACATTGTGATGGTAAAATCCTAGTTTGGATTATGTCAGTGAAGGCTTAGTACCTGTCTGCATACAATTCTCACTATATTCTCCTCTTTGTACAATGACAGCAAATCTACGGACACGTTTGGGATCTGCATCAAAAACACAGGAAAAAGTCCCAGAGAGAGCAGAAAAATCATCAGTATCACCAGAAGATGACGACTCTGAGCTCCAGCGGGCATGGGGGGCTCTCATTAAAGAAAAGGAACAGTCACGCCAGAAGAAAAGCCGACTTGATAACTTGCCATCACTGCAGATTGAAATCAGTCAGGAGAGCAGCTCAGGCTCGGACACGGAATCATGATGGCCTTTAGTGCACTCCTTGGAGACTGTTCCATGGCTCGAAATTGACTGCCTGGCCTGGGCCCAGCAGCCTTTCTCTGCCAAATGTCCAAGGAATCTCTGGCACGAGATGATCTTGCATGGCAGAGGTGACTTTAACAGAATGAAAGTGTGAATGTGTTTGTATGTGTGTATATTATTGCCCTAGGAAGCAGTCAGGATTTGTAGAAGACTTGTATCTTCTTAAGGTTTTCCATTAAGATGGAAACAAGATTCTGATATTCCCACAAACGATACGGAAGTTTCTTGGTTGATCACTTTTGCCTTTCTGGTTTTTCTCTGGTGAGCCATTAGGGCTGGCTCTGCTTCTGCTTCTCTCTCTCCAAATGACCATGAATGTAAATCCAAGAAAGGACAATGAAAGTGTTTTCTTCTCTCAATTCATGTCAGCGGTTCCGAATGTGATTCCACCAGAACTGGCTCTCTACGCTGGAGAGTAATTTCTTACCTAAAATGAACAGATGAAATCCTAAAAGGTGCTTTTTGTTCATTATGGAAAATAACTTTATTTCCATGTGTATAATGTTCAGTGGGAATATTAATTTATGCATGTGTGTGTGCATACACATATACACACACACACACATATCTATTTGTGGCAGAGATTTTTGCTGGTTACAGTAAAAGCTACTATTGTGGCTTCATATATGCACCATATATATATATATATATATATATGGTGTGTGTGTTTGTGTGTGCGCGCACACCCATGCGTGCATGTGTATAAAGTGGATCTCGGCACATAGCATCCAATAAAAGCCTCTGCATAAAGCCTTTCGAGATGAGCAGAGGTTAAGTAAAGATTAGTTTCTGGTAAATCATAGCCCTGTTACTGGAGGTGTGCATATGTTTTGTCACTATTATTGTCATGATATAGATATCTGTGGTAGATTCTCCTCCGTATCCCCTAAATTGTATTGTTTCTTTGGCGCTCTTATCTTGACAGGTAAGTGATAAACTTTTATCTGGGCAGCTTCCCCCATCCCCTGGCTTCTTCCAATGCAGGAAATAGGTATCTTTCAAGTTTCTGGCCAGTAAGACATGTAGCAAACCTTTTCCCCAGCCTGCTAGACTTCTGCAGGGAATGTACCTCTTTAGTGCCATATTTAATACATTTCTTGGGTCTTCCATCTTTTCCTTTTGACAAAATGGGAGCATTCCCCATTCTTCTCCACAGCTTGGGGGCTTTGGATCATTAGTTTGGAGTTTTGTGACACAGAAGAGCAGTACATGGCTTAGTAAACCACTTCCATTAACAAATCTTGCAAGGAGGAGGAGGTCAGTTAAAAGGTCTTGAGGACTTTCCTGTTTTGTACTGATTTTCATTTGTTTAAATGTGGATTCTTAAGATTATAAATGACAAAGTAAATGTGATGTTTGATCACTGAAGGAACTGTTTAAGTGCATATTTTTCCTCATCTAAAGCCTAATTATTTATATACACACATATATATACACACATAGTTAATATAACAATATTTGTATTACAAATAAAATTCTGATCTTAACTATAGTATATCTCAACATCTCTGCTATCTATCAGACATACAGTTCAGTTGTGACTACAAAATAATCTGGAGAAGCAAAGCTAGCTGAAAGAAGGAAACTGATCATATGTCACATAGTGATACACCAGAATTCCTGTCTTACTGTGATCCGGGAGCAGAGTGCTAATGCATGTGCCTGCTCATTCTGATTTATGGGAAGTGCTTTCAAGTCAGTAAATCAGTAACAGACAGAATTGATAGGCCCAACAAAGCAGGTTCATACTTTACAGCTATCACTTTCACTCTAGTTTATTGTTTGTATTTAGAGTAATGAGAAGAAAAAGGCTGTACAAAATAGGACACTTTTTTCGTGGAGACTGGATGGTCAGTAAATCTGTCTTTTGTGTTTATGCCAACAGTGGATTGTTTCAGACACAGGGAAGTGAATTGGCAAGGGGACTAAAGATTGTAATAGTAGTTCAAATAGTATGTGTTTTCTGTGGAATAACATGAGCTCACACAGGATCAGTTTGGGGGCTAGAGCTAAGATGTCTTCAAACTTCCATTTTCCTTGAATCTTTCAGTGGTACATTTTATGTGTATTCCCAATCTTAGAAATGAAGTAAGCTACGCTTTCAGCTGAACAAATCATAGGTAATAGCTCTTAGGAGATATGGAATGAGGGGAAAAAAGTATTAATGAGCATGGAACAAAACAATCAAATCAGAACATTTCATCAGAAAGATAGAACAAGACTTGAAAAGTATCTTGCCATGGAGAAAGAATGGGAATGCAAAACAAGTTTTTTGCTCCTTCATTTTTATTTATTTTATTTATTAATTAAACCAATTTATATAGCTGCCCATCTCACCACAGGTGACTCTGGGCAGCTTACAACAAAGCTAAAAACAGTCAGTAAATACATTAAAAATATAAAAATAAAAACAAAACAGAGACTGAAAGGATGTTAAAAATAAGGGAGCCACCTCACTAATTCTCCCCTCACTAATTTTCTTTGGACTGCAAAAACACATCTGTCTTGTAGCCCACGCACAGTGCTTTCTACCACGGAGCCGATAGCCAAGAGGATTTTAAAAACAGGTTGAAATGTTGTATAACAAGCAATAAGAAGCTCTGTTTAAATAAACTTCATGTGCCAGCATAAAACCATGGAATGGAGTTTAACAAAGAAGTAACAGCTGCTTCTCTTCAACATAATGTCTGAACAAACTAACATAAGCAAAAATGAACTTCTTTAGCTGTTAAGGCTTTGTTATGCATTATGCATAGTTTTTGAATTAATTAAAGGGGATGTAAGGAAAGGTAATGTGGAAGCTGCCTGGAAAAGAGTGAATAGAACTATATTACGAAGTACCACAGAAAAAGAATGATTGGGAAATGACTGAATGAGAAAAAAGTGCACGTAAGACAATGCTAAAGAAAAATGAGGACAAAGAAATACTGTATAATGTATACAGAGAGAAAAAGTTGTAAAGAATGTACTCAAAGAGAGCAAGGAATTTTTAAGATTAAAAGAGGCAGAGAAAATGTGGAGCAATTTTTATGGGAATTTTTAAAAATTCTTTTGGAACTAGGTGTAAAGAGAGCCTCAAATAGAATGAATAGAATTAAAAATAAAGTGATAAAATGATTTAGAATGAAACCAAAGTGAGGAAATGTTTAAGGAGTATTTTGGAGGTTTGTATGAGAATGGTAGTGATAATATTGAAGAGTGGAATCAAAGTGAAGATATAAAGATTATTATCCACAAAAACAACTGATGAAAATGAAATAATTTTTGTGAGATTGTTGAAAAACAATAAGGCTTCAGTTTTAGAAGGTGTAACGAGAAAAAGTAGGGATGTGTTTTGTTTATGGAGTGGCTATATAATTTACTTAACATGTATGTGAAGAATGCATCTGTGTCTGATAATTGGAAGAATGTCATTACTGTTCCTCTATATAAAAGAAACAGTAACAAAAGTGAATGCCAAAATTGCAGGTGGATTCCTTTTTAAGCTCGTGGGTGGTATTTGGCAGAATTCTAATTGAGGAGATATAAAAGGCGATGATGAGCATAATTTGGGAATGCGATGCAGCTTTACGCTGGAGAAAGGTTGTACCAGACTGTTCCTTTCCAACAGATAATGGGGGAATGTGAAGTTGATTGTATGTTTATGATTTGGAGAAAGCCTATCATAAAAGCGAATGAAATTAAATTATGGGATGTTTTGCATGAGTGTGGCTTGGTTGATGCAGTAAGAGTGGTAAATGATGGAGGTAAAGCATGTGTGGGAACAAATGGAATATGCTTATGGTTCAGCGCTGAACAGTAAGCAATGTCCATTTAGTAGCTTAGTGTATTTGTGGATAAATGTATACTTGTGACATTAGAGATGTGTTGATTAAGGCTGTGAATGTGTGTGCACTTTTGTATGTAAATGGCCCTATAATCTTGGCTGACAACCTGAATGACTATGGATTTTTATTTATTTACCTTATTTTTATCTCACCACATTCCACTCGTGGCAATATACAATTAAAAACAAGAACAACAAAATCAACATAATATACTAAAGAAGAAGCAAATAAAACCATAGCCTCATCAGTAGCATTACAACTAGTACAATTAGGTGTCCACAACCAGATCTCAACCTCAAACATTCTTGTGAATAGCTCTAAAACTCAGGAAGGCATCATCCACATCCTCAGAGGATGGGTACTACCCCTGAGAAACACTTAGCTTGCTCTCCCCTAAATCTCTTGTAGGAGACAGACCATCAGCTTACCCATCAAGGACATGTGCAAGGGAGAGGTAGGATCTACTTGAAGCATATGGTCCTGCAGGTACTCATATAAGGCTTTATGGGTCAAAACAGCACTTTGATTTGTACTTGGAGCTTATTGGCAACCAACGCAGCACCTGCAACATAAGTGTGTAACACATTCTTACCTGCTAACAAATGGGCTGCCATATTTTTATCAATTGCAGTTTCTGAGTACTCTTCAAGAGAAGCTCCATATAGTAATCTAAATGGAAGGTGCCAAATATGTGAATCACTATAGCCAAGTCGTCTTTTCTCCAGGAAGGACGACAATTGCCACACCAGCCAAAATTGGGAAAATGTGCCCTAGACAGAGTCTCCATGTGCCTATTTAACTGACTGTGAGTCTAGGAGGGCCCTTGAATCATGGACCTGTTCCTTCAGGCAGAGAGCTACTCCATTCAGAGTTACCACTGGAGTGGTTAGAGTGCTAAATGATTTTTGGACAAATTAAATAAATCTTGCAAGAATTCAACTTCAACTTATTTTTTCTAATCCAAGTCCTAACCCCCTCCATATACTAGTCAGGACTTCTACCACATCACTGTCTAGTCTGGGTGAAGATGCGTATCTGGATATCATCAGCATATTGTCTCTCCCTGAACTGTTGGATGACCTCTCCCAGTGGCTTCATGTAAATATTAAACTGCAGGAGAAACTCTATAGCATCCTACACTGGAGTAGCCAATGGGTAAACCTCTCCTTCCCCACCACCAACTAGAATTACGTGCCTCTTTCAAGGTGAATGGCACTACCTGCTCCGCAGCAAGGTGTTGATTACCTTTCTGATATAGCCAATCACCACTCCACCTGCCTCCCAAAGTAACCAGGTAGGACAGGAGACTAGTTCACATGTGACAGAGCTTGTACCGTGCAGCAAATTATCCATTTCCATGAGAATGAAATTAAATGCATTACAAGACTTGTGTCTGTCATCACCATATATACTGTTCGTACAGAATCAAGACTTGAATAAATTTGAGCAATTTTATTGCCTAAGTATTGCTGTGAGGTTCTGAATGGAGAGGAATACACTGAGGCTCAACCCTAGCAAGACTGAGTGCCTGTGGATATTTTGGTCACCTAACTCTGGATATCTTCCCGCTTTAGTCTTGGATGGGATAATGCTTCCCCATTCAGAACTAGTGCACAGTTTGGGGGTTCTTAGACTTACAGTTCCTGCTAAAACAGCAGGTCACAGCTGTGGCCGATAAGTCCTTTCCATAGTTTCATCTTATGCTCCAGTTTTGCTAGTTCCTGGACTGGGAGATCCTTTAGACTGTCACGCCCTAGTTATCTCACATGTAGACTATTGTAATGCACGCTACATGGAGCTGCTCTTGAAGACCACTTGGAAGCTACAGCTGGTCCAGAATGTGGCAGCAGAAGCAGTAATGAACATGCCACAATATACTAAGTGACACCACTGCTCTGGGAGCTTCACTGGTTGCCAATTGGCCTCCAGGTGCAATTCAAGGTGCTGGTTACCTCCTATAAACCTCTTCATGGGATAGGGCCTTATCTGAGGAACCACCTGTCTCCAATGATTTCTGTCCCTGTATGAACAATGTAATCTGGCAGGATCCAGAAATCGTGGCTTTTCTATCTCAACACCTGAGCTCTGGAACAGCCAGATTTGTATGGCTTCCACACTGATGTTGTTCAAGAAGTACCTGAAATCCTAGCTGTCCCCCTGGTCTTAGATTAGATTGGATGTTGAGCCCCTAAGCAGTGTTTCTTAACCTTGACAACTTTAAGATGTGTGGACTTCAACTCCCAGATTATTTGTTCATGGGTACTGTGGAGACGATATATATGTTGTATAAACATCTTGGCTAAATGTTTTGCCGTAGGAATAGAAGTGCAAGGGATGAAATGTGCCTGCTTAGAAAAGAGGTCTGTGACTACCCAGATTACTGTTCGATTGTTGCTTTCAGGTGAATCTACAATAAAGTCCATCGCTATCTGCTTCCATGGCTTGTTAGGGGTTGCCATGGTTTGCAAGACGCTCATGGGTTTGCCCCCCCCCCCCCCTTTTTTTTTTCCATGCCACATGTAGGACAAGAGTTCACATATTCTGTAATGTGTTTTCTCATAGAAGGCCACCAAAACTGCCTTCAGAGAAGGTGTAAGGTTTTTACAAATCCAAAATGTCCAGCAGTTTTACTATCATGGCCTCTCTCTAGAATTTCTTTT